CTCGTAGGTACCGCCATAACCTAAAAAAATAATTGAAGTAATAAATAATGAAGTAAACTCAACAAAGAGAAATGAATGAATTATGTTTGAAAATCTTCTATAATGGTTAAAAACTTGATTTATTTGATCTATTGATGATTTATACTCTTGCTCCGTTAAATAATTACTCATCTCTATTGGATATAAATTTGAATCGAATCTGGTGAAACCCATATTGCATGCATATTGTTTTCTAATTTTTTCTTTAAAAAATTTATTATAGGAAATTGGTATTCCAGTTGAACTTATATTAATTTGTTGTGGTTGTTGTTGTAGTTGCTGTTGTATTTGCTGTTGCTGCTGTTGTTTTTGTTGTTGTTGCTGAATTTGAATTTGTTTAATATGTGGTAAAACCATATCACTATATAAATCTGTTATATTATCATTTTGTATATTTAGGTCTATTTTTACGAAATCATCTTTTTCTTGAATTTCATTTTCTATTTTTATTCCCATATTTTATATTTTTTTTTAAAATATATATATATAAAAAATAAAAAAATTATTATTAATTATATTTGTGTAAAAAAAAACTATTAATAGTTCTTTAAAAAAAATAGTTTTATTAAACACTAAAATAAAAAAAAATATAAAATATAAAAAATATCTAATCCCCCACCCCCACAAATCGATTTATAAAAAAATAATAATAAAAATAAAAAAAAAAAAAAAAAATAAAAATAAAAATAAAAATAAAAATAAAAATAAAAATAAAAATAAAAATAAAAATAAAAATAAATAAATAAAAAAATAATAAAAATAAATAAAGTAAAATAAATGATACATGTATTTTTCGTACCTTAATGAACTTTTACCTGTTTGTATATTTTAATCAACACTTTGATAATTTTCGAATTGTTTGGGATAAAAATATTTCTTATTATTTATTTTATTATTTTATTATATAAATAACTTTAATTAAAATATTAAATATAAACAAATAAAAAAAAAAAAAAAAAAAAATTTCGGGGTGAATGTTATTTTTTTGGGATAGTTGGGAATTTCTGTAATTATTTTTATTATTTATTTTGTTGTATATTTAAAGATATTTGGCGCCAATCTTTTTTTTTTAAAAAAAATATCTTGCAAAGAAAATATTCCTTTTATTTATTTCTTTTTTTTGCAATTGGGCATTTTGACAAAATAAAAAAAAATTGTTTTTTTTTAAGATTGTTATAATTGATTTTGACAAAAATTATTCTTTATATCTTTTAAAAATAAATATTTTAAACTTTTTTTTTTATATTTTTTTATTTTAGTTTTTTTTTTTTATATTTTTTATATTTTTTATATTTTTTTTTTTTTTTGGGGGGGGAAAAAATATCAAGATAAAAAAAAATTTGATTAAAAAAAAAAAAAACAAATAGAAGTTCCCTTATACTAACTGATGAAAATATTAAATATTTAATATTTATTTATATATATATATGAATTTCACCATAGTAGAAAAAAATTTTAAAAATATTTTTATAATAAATTATTTGTTGATTTTTTAAAAAAAAAAAAATTTTTTATTTTTTTTAATTTTTTTTTTACAAAATTTTTTTATTTTTTTTTTAAAATTTTTTTTTTTTTTTCAACATCAAAGCTTTTTTTTTTTTATTTATTACTATTTTCTTCTTCATATAAAGAACTTAATAAAAATTCATTAATTTTTTTTTTTTAGTAGGTTTATTATTTTTAAACACTCATTCATTTTTTTCATTATTAAAATAATAAATTATTAAATAACAAATATATATATCTATATTTGTATTTTATATATTAAAAATAAATAAAATTAATAATTAATTACTAATTTTAAATATTTTTATTTATAGTTCAGGTTTCTTTTTATATAAATATATATTTTTTTTTTTTTAAATAAAATAATTTAAAATCAGAAATGAGAGAAATTATTCAACTTCAAGCTGGTCAATGTGGTAATCAAGTTGGTTCAAAATTTTGGGAAGTTATCTCTGAAGAACACGGTATTCAAACTAATGGTACACACATTGGTGGAGAAGATCAACATTTAAAAAATCTTCAATTAGAAAGAATTAATGTTTACTATAATGAAGCTAGAGATGGTAAATATGTTCCAAGAGCTGTTTTAGTAGATCTTGAACCAGGTACAGTCGATACTATTAAAGCAAGTCAATATGGTAAATTATTCAGACCAGACAACTTTATCAATGGTCAATCAGGTGCTGGTACGTAAATTATAAATTATTTAATATTATTAATAGTAATAATTAAAGAAAAATATATTAATTTTTTTAATTTATCAATCAATCAATTAACCTTTCAATTATTTTATCAATTTATTTTCAATATTATTAAAAATCACAAAAAAAAAAAAAAAAAAAAAAAAAATTTTTTACAAATTAAAAAAAAAAAAAAAAAAAAAAAAAAAAAAAATAGGTAATGTTTGGGCTAAAGGTCATTACACCGAAGGTGTTGAATTAGTTGATTCAGTTCTTGATGTTGTTCGTAGAGAAGCTGAAAATTGTGATTGCTTACAAGGTTTCCAAGTTACTCATTCTATTGGTGGTGGTACAGGTTCAGGTTTAGGTACTTTATTAATCAGTAGAATCCGTGAAGAGTTCCCAGATCGTATGATGTGTACTTACTCTGTTGTTCCATCACCAAAGGTCTCACTCACTGTCGTCGAACCATACAATGCTACTCTCTCCATCCATCAATTGGTCGAATATGCCGATGAAGTCATGTGTATTGATAATGAAGCTTTACATGAAATTTGCTTCAAGACCCTCAAACTTACCCAACCAAACTATGGTGACTTAAATCACTTAATCTCATCAGTCATGTCTGGTATTACCTGTTGTTTACGTTTCCCAGGTCAATTAAACAGTGACTTAAGAAAATTAGCTGTCAACTTAATCCCATTCCCACGTCTTCACTTTTTCTTAGTTGGTTTCGCCCCACTCACTGCCAAAGGTAACTCATCATACAACCGTATCACCGTTCCAGAACTCACCCAACAAATGTTTGATTCTAAAAATATGATGGCTGCTTCCGATCCAACCAACGGAAAATACTTAACTGCCTCAGCTCTTTTCAGAGGTAAAATCTTCACCAAAGAAGTTGATGAACAAATGAACAATATCCAAACCAAAAACAGTTCCTATTTCGGTAATTATCTTTTTTTTTTTAAATTTTTTTTTCCCATCTTCTACCTATACTAACAGTTCATATTTTTTTTTATAAATTAGTGCCATGGATTCCACACAATATTAAATCAAGTATTTGCGACATCCCACCAAAAGGTTTACCAATGTCAGTTACTTTCATTGGTAACAATACAGCCATTCAAGACCTTTTCAAACGTATTTCAGTTCACTTCCAAGCTATGTTCCGTAGAAAGGCTTTCCTTCATTGGTACACTCTTGAAGGTATGGAAGAATTAGAATTTACAGAAGCTGAAAGCAATATGAACGATTTAATTTATGAATATCAACAATACTCCAACGATACTGAAGAAGAAGAACAAGTTCAAGATGATGTTGATGAACACCAAGAAGAAGAAATGTAAATTATATGAATAATATATGAATGCAGAAAAATAGTATAATAATAATGACAATAATAATAACAACAACAATAACAATAACAATAAAAAGATTAATCTTGAATGATTGATTTCATAAACTTTTTTTTTTTTTTTTATTATTTATTTTATTATTTTTTTTATCTTTTTTTTTTTTTTAATTAAAAAACAAAGAAAATAATTTAATTTTTTTATTTCCACAAAAACTATAAAAAAATTATCTTTATTTTTTTTTTTTTTTTTTTTTTTAAATATTATTAAGAGAGGATGATGGTTTTGGAAAAAGTTTCTTTTGTAGAGACCATATGTATTATCACAAATAAACAGTAAAATATTTATACACCAAACTAAAAATAAAGAATAACGTATAGAGAAAAAAAAAATTAATTTAAAATAAAAATAAATTATAAAAATAAAAAATTTAAAAAACTACAGTTTTTTTTTTTTTTTTTTTTCAATCATTTTATTTATTTTAATAATGAAAATATATCTATTTATTTTAATTGCTTTAATATTATTTATAAATAACACAAATTGTAACAATAATAAAATATCAAAAAATATTTATAAACATATAGATAACAATAATGAAAATAATATAAAATTATGGGTTTTTTTCAATTTAAAAAATAAGAATCATACAGATATATTACAGCAACAAAATAATAAAATAATATATAACAAAATCAAAAAAATAGCAAACATTAAAACAGAATCAATAAATAGAAGAAAGAAAAGGTTAAATAATAATAATAATAATAGTAATAATAATAATTTTATAGACGAAAATGATTTACCAGTTTCAGATGAATATATAAACGAAGTTTTAAATTGTAATAATAATAAAGAAACAATAATTGAATTAAAATATAAATCAAAGTGGTTAAATTCAATTTCAATTAATATTAAATCAAAATCAACAATAGAACTAAATAATATTTTAGATTGTATAAATAAAAAATCTTTTGTGGATCATATTGATCTAGTGAGAAAATATAAAAAAAATAATCCAATTGTATATAAAGAATTAAATAACTACAATAATAATAATTATATCAATAGTGATAATAGTAATAGTAATAGTAATAATAGTAATAGTAATTTATTAAAAGTAAATTATGATATAAATTTTTATGGTTATTCATATGATTCAATTAAACAGGTTGGTATTGATCAATTACAGGCAGAGGGAGACTATAATGGAGATGGTATTAGAATTTTGATTTTAGATAGTGGTTTTAATAAGAGTCATGAAGTTTTTCAAAACATGAAGATTGCTGGCGAATATAATTTTGTAGATAATATTGCAGATACTGGTAATACATATGATCCTGTATATGACGATCCATTAAAGCATGGCACAGCAACATTATCGGTTTTGGGTGGTTACAAGCCTGGAGTATTAGTTGGTGCAGCATATAGGGCAAGCTATTTATTGGCAAAAACTGAAGATGTTAGATCTGAGTCTCCAATAGAAGAGGATAATTTTATAGCAGCTATAGAATGGGGCGAACAATTAGGAGCAGATTTATTATCAGCAAGTTTAGGTTATTTATCATGGGTAGATTATTTTGATATGGATGGTAAAACAAATAGAATTACAAAAGTGGCAGATATTGCAGTTACAAAGGGCATGGTTTGTATTATTAGTGCTGGTAACGAAGGAGAAACTGGTATTTCAGAACCAGCCGATGGTTTTAATGTTATTTCAGTTGGCGCAGTGGACTATAATGGTATTGTTACAGGTTTCTCATCTATTGGACCATCTTCTGATGGTAGAGTTAAACCAGATCTAATGGCATTGGGTAAATTAAATTATGTTGCTGATAATAGCGGCTATGATAAATACTATAGGCTTAGTGGAACAAGTTTTTCATGTCCATTGTTAGCGAGTGGTGTTGCTTTACTACTACAGGCTAGGTCTGATTTAACATCAATGCAAATAGTGGAGGCAGTTAGATCAAGTGGTTCACAATTTTCTGCACCAAGTATCTCTTATGGTTTTGGATTATTTAATGCCTTCAAAGCGTCAAAGTATCAACCAATCGATAAAAACTGTACAATCAACAAATGCTCAGGTTATGGTGGATGTTGTGGTGGCGAGTGCTCTTGTGCAATTAATAGATATGGAGAGTATTGCCAATACCCTAAATTCAAGTGCTCAAATGAATGTACGCACAGAGGTGGTAAATGTCAAATAAATATGGGTGGTTATTCATTTGTTTGTATAAGAAGCTCATCTAATCAAACTCAAGATTTATACGACCCAAAAAGTAAGTGCCCAAATTGTTTTGGAGATTTTAACGAATGTGGTTTATGTGGTGGTTTAAAAAATTGTTCAGATTTATATGACAATAATGATAGTAGTTTATTTGACCCAAATGTTAAAGATAACAAAAAAAGAAACTCTATCATTATTGGGGTTATAGTTGGTGTTGGTGGCTCATTAATTATATTAATAACAGTATTATTATATTTTAAAAAAAATATAATCTTTAAAAATGGTAATAATATAGAAATGGAATAAAAAATTTATTTTTAAATAAATAAAAAAAAAAGAAAAAGAAAGTAAATGTATTTGTTTTTGGGTTAATAAATATAAATGGTTATTTTTTCACTAGTGTGTATGTGTGGGAGTGTTAGTTATAAATTTTTTTTTCAAAATCATAATCTTGTGATTAAAATAATATATTGATAAATCTTTTTCTTTATTAATTTTTATTTTTTATTTTTTGAATTTATTTTTTTATTGATTGTAAAGAATAAGTACTGTATTGTAAATTAATAAAGTCATTTTTTTATTATTTTTTATTATTTTTTATTTTTATTTTTGTTAAGTTTAAATTCAAAAAATAAAAGATATTCGTATCAAATTAAGAATATAATATAATTATGTAAAAAAGATTATAAAAAATGGGGGTATTAAATCTATTTATTTTTTAAAATATTTTTATATTTTTAGCACTATGTTCACTAACATTTATATATTTGTTTTTTATTTTTTTTTAAAATTATAAATTGTGGTTTTATTTTATTTTTTTAAAAAAAATATAAATTAAAATAGTTTGAAAAAAATATAATATTTAAAAAAATAATTATAAAATAATTAACAAACATTATTTAATAGTTGGTTTTTTTTTTTTTATTTAAAAAATATAAATAAAATTATTTTTTAAAAAAATATTTTTTTTTAAAGAATGATTATTAAATATTTTTTTTTATTTTTAATAATCATTTTATTAATAAATTATAGTAATTGTAGTGTTATTAGTAAAATTTTAAAAATAAAAAACCATTTAAATAAATATAATGAAAAAGATATTAAACTGTGGGTATTTTTTAATAATAAAGAAAATCAAATTATAAATTCAAGTAATAAAGATCAATTTGATATTTCAGATTTATCTTATAAAAGAAGATTTGAAAGAATAGAAAATAAAGATCAATTATTTGATGTTTATGATATCCCTGTATTAGAAAATCAAATAGAAAGTTTATTAAATTGCTCAAATATAGAAATCGTTCATAAATCAAAATGGTTAAATTCAGTTTCCATAAAAATCAAAAATACCAATGATGATCAGCTAAATGAATCTCTATCATGTATCACCTCAAAAGATTTTGTAGAAACAATTGATATAGTATCAAAATTTAAAAATATAAAAAAATTAATTAAAAAAAATAACCAAATTAATAAAAATAATGAAATATATAAAAAATTAAATAGAGTAAAGTTACAATTTGCCAATGACAATAGTCAAGATGTAAATGAACCTTTACAAGAAAAGAATTTTTATGGTGATTCAATTGCACCAATAAATCAAACCAATATTTATAAATTGCACGAGTTGGGTTATAATGGAAGAGGTGTTACTATTTTAGTTGCTCGCTTCCTACTTTTTAAAGGCCATGAGGTATTTAAACATATGAAGATTTTGGATGAATATAACTTTATCAATAAAACAAAAAATACAACTGAGCCATTGCAAGTACATGACAATTCAAATGATCAAAATGCTCATGGTACAGCAACATTATCTGTAATTGGTGGGTTATTACCAGGTACCTTAGTTGGTCCTGCTTTCGGTTCTAATTATTTATTGGCAAAAACAGAAATTGTAAGTGGTCCCGATACATTGGTAGAGGAAGATAATTGGATTGCTGCACTAGAATGGGGCGAATCTAAAGGGGCTTGTGTAGTTTCCTCATCTTTATCATATTTGTTTTATGATTACTCTCAATTAGATGGGAAAGTATCTAGAATGTCAAAAATTGCAAATATTGCAATTTCAAAAGGTATGGTATTGGTCAATTCAATGGGAAATAATGGCTACGATATCTTTGGAGCACCGGCAGATTCGGATGTAATTTCAGTCGGTGCAGTGGATATTAAAGGTGATAGAACCTTTTTTTCATCAGTAGGACCATCTGCGGATGGAAGAGTAAAACCAGATGTTATGGCTTTGGGAAAAAATGTAGCTGCAGCATTTGTACATTCACAAAATAACTATATGACATTAGATGGTACTAGCTTTTCATGTCCTCTAGTTGCTGGTATTGCAGCTTTGTTAATGCAAGCTCATCCAAATTGGTCAGCTAATCAAATTAAACAAGCTTTATTAAAAACCTCATCAAAAAGTTCTAACCCAGATCAATATATGGGACATGGAATTGTAGATGCATATAAAGCCTACAAATACAACCCAATTATTGAAAATTGTTTCATTGGTGGGTGTTCTGGTCGTGGTACATGTTGCTTTGGTGTATGTAAATGTGCACCGGCATATTATGGTGTTAATTGTGAATATAAAAGAATAGAATGTGGTCAAAGATGCACTAATGACTTTGAATCAGTTTGCCAAATAAATAATTTGGGAAAATCATATACATGCTTATCCAAAAACAGTAAAAATTTAGTTTTTAATCAAAATGATAATCAATTACCAATTTGTAAAATTTAAAATAAATAAAATTAATTTAAAGTTTAAATTTTAATCTTTATTTTTTATATCATAGAATTGTTTTTTATATTTAATTTAATATTTAAAAACAATTTGATTGATAGAATTAATAATATTGTAATTATTAAAACTGAAAAGCCAACTATAATACAAATTATTAAAATAAACTTTTCATTTGAAATTGAATTATTATTGTTATTGTTATTATTTTTATTTAAACTATTATTATTAGTATTATCACTGCTATTATTACTACTACTACTACTATTATTGCTATTGTTTGTTGAGTTGTTTGTTTTTAAAATTAAAATATTTGGATCAAAATTTACTTTTAGTTTTTTAATATTATTGGGACTAATACAGTTGTATGATAAAGAGTTGTTTTCTTTTAAGAATTCATTTATTTGACAAACGCCATAACGATAGTTACATAGCTCTTGGTTACATATTTCTCTTTTATATTGACATTGAATACCATAGTACGCAGGTGGGCATTTGCAATGACCAATGACTACATCTTCGAAACTATGACCATCATAGGGATAATCATTTTTTGATTTACAAACTCCATTATTTAAACATCCAACCTCTATGCACGAGTGCTTTGATGGGTTATACTGAGATGCTGCATATGCATTAAATATCCCATAGCCCATATTAATATCTGGATTATTTGCTTTTGATGCGGTTTTTGTAATAGCCTCGTAAATTTGATAGGCATTCCAATCTTTATTTTTTTCCATGATTAAAGCTATACCCCCGGCAACTATTTGACTTGAAAAGCTTGTTCCAATTTCTAATCTGTAATGATCCTTACCAGTAAAGTATGCAATTTGAACTTGCTCACCCAATGCCATAATGTCTGGTTTAATTCTTCCATCAGAAGAAGGACCCATAGAACTTATAAAAGATTTTTCGTGACCACTAGGAGTTACACCACCAACTGCAATAACATATTCACTATCTGTTGGACTATCTATACCCTTTTTATCATCATTTCCCGTGCTAATTACAATCACCAAGCCTTTCTTAATTGCAAGATTTGCTGCTTTGCTTATTCTTGTAGTTTTTCCATTTAAATCTGAAAACCTATACCATTCTTTATAACCCAAACTACTTGTTACCAAATCTATACCCATTCTTTCACCCATTTCTAATGCTGCAATCCAATAGTCCTCTTCAACTAAATTTTCTTCAAATATAATTTCTGTTTTAGCTAAAAAATAACTAGCATTAAAAGCAGAGCCAATTAATTTTCCTGGAGCAAATCCACCTATAACCGATAAAGTTGCTGTGCCATGTGCATTTTGTGACATTGTTGGATCTGTTAAATTTGGGTCAAATTCATCTTGAGTGTCATTCTTTTTATCTACATAATTGTATTCCCCTATGTAATTAATATGCTTTAGTGATTCATGATCTTTATAAAACCCACTGTCTATTATTAATATTTTAATATTTGTTCCATAATAACCCTCTTGATGTAATTTATCTATATTTGCTTGTTTTAAACCTTTGTATGATAAACCATAAAACTTTTCATCCAATTTAACTTTATTTGTATTATTAAATATTTCATTGATTGTTTTATTAGAATAGTTATTTTTTATATTTAATTCTAATAATTTGTTTTGAAATTTGAGATTGTTATTATTATTATTATTATCATTATCATTACTATTGTTTTTTCTATTTAAATTATTTTTATATTTTAATACTAAGTCTAAATTTTTTACAAAAGATTTTTTTTGAATACAATTTACTATATCTTTTAATTGTTTTTTATTTTTATTTTTAATTGATATCGAAATTGAGTTTAACCAATTTGATTTATAATTTAAAATAATATTATTATTACAATTTAAAACTTCTTTTATAAAATAATCTGAAATTGGTAAATCATGGTTATCTATATCAATTGTAGAGGCTATTCTTTTTGATCTTCTTTCTATTGAATCATTGTGAATGCCTATTAAATCTATAATTTGTTTTTTTGTTAAATTGTCACCACTTGAATTATCAACAAAACTATTATCATTATGATGTGATATATCTTTTACAGTAAACTCTATCCATATTTTTAAATTGTTACTATTATCGTTGATTTTATTTATTAATTTTTCTGAAATTTTATATTGACCCCTATTATTATTATCTATAATAAAGCAATAATTTAAATTAATTAATAAAATAATTAATAATAAATATTTCATTATTAAAAAGATAATTTTAAAAGTTATGAGGTGGTGGCGGTAGTGTGATGATGATTTTATTAAATAGATATCTTCTTAATAGTTTATTATTTTTAAAAATTTCTAACAATATATAATTTAGATATATTTTAAATTAATGTTTTTTTTTTTATATTATTTTTTTTGTTATTTATTTTATTATTTAATTAAAATATTTAATTATGGCATTTATTTATCTTTACAAATTCTAATTGGGTTATAAACTATACTCTATTGCATCATTATTTAATGATAATTTTATTTTTATTTTATTTTTTTAATTATTTTATTTAATCTGTCGTGTGAGTGCACAAAAGTTTAAATATCTATTTAAAACTACATTAAATGTTTTCTTCCAACAACAAAAATTAAATTATAATAAAAAAGGTTGTTGGAAAAAAAACCAAAGAAAAACCAAAAGAAAAAAAAGGGCTATATAATATATTTTATATATTTTAATTTTATAATTTATTGGTGTGTGAATGAATTGTGAATGTATAAGTTTAAGAATTAAAAAAAAAAAAAAACAACACACCCCATAAAAAGTTAAATTCGAATTTAAAATATTACCCCCAAATGATTATAATATAATTAATTTAGTGTATATAATATATATAATATGTATAATAATATATTAAAAAAAAAAAAAACTATTTATAAATGATTCTGAAAAAAATAAAAAATTAACGTGGATTTAAATCCAAACGTACAAAAAGATAATGTAATCCTTATAATTTAAACATTACACTTTAATGTTGTTATTTAATTTTTTAAAATTTGGGAACTGATAAAACACAAAACACAAAACACAAACTATAAAATTAAAACAAAACATTGAAATAAAATATATTAAAAAAATTAAATTTTAAATAAAATTTTACCTTTTTTTTTTTTATTTGAAATAATTTTATTGATTTTCAATGTTTTTATAATATTTGGGAATTAATAAAAAAATAGAGAAATTATTAGTAATTATTGAATCCATGACATCATTTGAAACCATTAATATTTATTTATTACAATGAAAATAAAAAAAATAAAAAAAAATTTTAATTAATTTTTTTAATTTTAATTTTTTTTTTTTTTAATTTTTTATTTTTATTTTTATTTTTCATTTTTTTTTAAATTCGAACATCATATATATACTTTTATTTTTTATATTTTTTATTTTATGTATATATATCAATCTTAATTAAAAATGAAAATTATTAAAAGTTCTTCCCTTGGAAATATTCAAATTTTTTCATTAATTGTATTATTTGTTACAATTATTTCAACAATTTGTAGTCATTTATTTTTTAATATTGACTATTGCGCCAAAGATAGATTATTCGATAAAAGAGAAAAATCAATATTTCATCATCTTTATTTATTTATATCATTTGGATGTGTATTATTAATTGCATTTCAAATAATATTTTGGAATCCTTTAAAAGTAAATAATAAAAAGAGAATCGGAAATAGAGTTTGTATCCCACAATAAATTATTAATAAATAAATAATAATTATAATTTTAACATCTTATTTTTTTTATTTATAGTTTAAATTTAATTTTAAATCATTATTTTTAATTTTACATTCATTTTTATGGTATGGTGCAACTTATTGTATCTGCTTTTTACTTAAAAGAATATTAGACGACAAAACATGCAATAAATCTCATAATAGGTAAGGTTTTAATAATGATAAAAAAAAATGAAAAAAAATAAAGAGATTCTAATTATAATTTTTTAAAATTAAAAGTGTATCGGGTCACTTTTTATTCCATACATTTTATTTAATAGCCGTACCATATTGGTTTTTAACAGTTGGTAGATTGCATAATAAAAATATTCAAAAGATTGAAAATAAAGAAAAAGAAGAAGAGGAACAAGAAGAAGAGGAGTTGGAGGAAGATAATAGTTCTCCATCGCAATCAAGATTAAATAAAAGAAACCAAAAGACCAAAAAATCACCAGTAGCTAAAAGAATTAATAATAACAAAAAACAGGATAATATTGTTGTAAAAAAAAATCAAATTAAACCAAGAAATGAATTATTAGTTATCAAAAGACTTTTAACTGAAAACTCTACAACTATTTTATTAATTATTCCATATATTATTTATATTTATTCAAGTTATATCAATTTAGAAAAAACATGGGTACATGGTTTTCATTCAATAAGACAAATTTTATATGGTTTGATATTATCATTCTTTTCATTATATTCATTATTATTCATTACTTCAAAAAGTTAGTATTAAAACTTAATACCATTATTATTATTAGTTAAAATTAATTAGTTTTATTAATATCTTTTTTTTTAATAGATAATAATTTAGATAAAAAATCATCATGTTTTTCATTAATAATTACATTGGGATTCTTTTGGTCAGTTTCATTAATGTTATTAAATTACTACTCAGTCCGTATTCCATTTGGAATGGTTGAACTCGTATTGTTCACAACTGGGTTTATATTTTTAATTTATTTTTCATTTGGTTTACCATTATTAAAAACTAAAAAAAATAAAACAGACTAAATAAAAAGAAATAATATTTTATAATTAATTTTAAATTTATATATTTTATTTAAATTTATATATTTTATTTTTTTTTTTAAATAGGTTTTTTTTTTTTTACTTATCATTATTATTATTATTATTTATTATTACTATTCTAAATTATTTAGTTAAATAAGAGATTATATTTATATATTACTATTTTTTTTGATTTTTTTTTTTAATATCTTTTTTTTACAAATCAAATAAATGTTTGTTATTCTTTTGATTTTTTGAACTATTTGATTCTTGGAGACGTTCATCTTCGCTATCGTCACTATCTAAAGCGCTGACAGGCATACTACTAAAACTGAAAACATGAGTTTTGCCTCCACCTCTATTTATACTTGTATCTTTCTTATCGTTATTTTTAAATTGTAAATCATCTTCGTCGTCATCATAAAGACCTGGGAATTTAGTGGTGTGTTCATCGTCGTCAAATTCGAATTTTGGTAACATCTTATAACGGGCAACACCACTTCTATATCTTGTTCTTACATACCAAATACCAACACCAATTACAATCGAAACAGCAACTAATGTAGCAATAACTTCGAGGGCAATGATAGCACCGCTACCATTTTTAGCACAGTCTTTACCGTGATAACCGCTGGCACATTCTGAACAATTTGGACCTTCGAAATTGGATGGGCATTTACATTGACCGAGAGTGTAATCACATGTACCTTCACCACAACCACCACATTCAAAATGTGGAGTACATTGTGGATAGTTTTGATAACCATTGGCACAAGTGTTACAGGTGGTACCATTATATTGTTTGGCGCAAATACAGTAGGCTGTATCAGTTTCTTGATCAATCATACATTTACCAAGAGAAATACATGTACCACTGATATTTGGATCACAATTACAGGTATCAATCTTACAGGTTTGTGAGACACAGACTGGTGGACCAGAACCCTTATTGATATTGTAGTAACCATTATTACAGTAATAGCAATCAACACCACCATAACCAGTTGAACATTCACATTTGTCATTCTTGAAACCACCATTGTTTGAACATGAGGTATCAATGAAATTGTAAACGTGTTGTGGTGGAAGGATTGATGGGTTTTTGTCAGAATCAAAGATTTGATTTGGAGCTAAGCTTAAGATATGTGTTGTATCTGGAGAAAGGGTGGCACTTGAGAAGTTTAGTGACCATTTGGTGCCATCATCTTGAAGACACATAACAGATGTTGGATGTATTGAGTCACTTGATGTTTGACTAGCTAAATATAATGAATCGGTAATTATACTACTAGAGTTACAAAGAATTTGGTTACCATTGGCATCATAATGAGTAGCTTGGGTGGAGAATGTTAAAACAAGATCACGACTTGGAACAATGTTATGACCGTTTGATGGTGAGAATGAACCAATATAAACCTTGGAGTTATCCATAATAACTAATGAGTAGGTGAATGGTAAACAAAGATCATTGTAGATGCTTGAGCTTTGGATAAGTGGATTAATGGCTGGTGGATGGACGATAACAATTGAATATAAACCAGCTCTTAAATTACCTGTTGAAATGATTGAGGTCATTGAAGTTTCACCATAAGAAAGTTCGGCGTTCCAATCGGCAGTACCAATTACACTACGAGCGTTGGTGTTTGGATTTCTAGTGGCTAATTTAATGTAAAAGTTTGTTGCGATTGAATCGAAACTGAATGAGGCCTCAACACGTGAAGTCTTGGTAATTTCAAAGTCTACATAGTATTCGAATTGAGTTTTAACTTTATGCTTGTTAATGTAATCACCGGTAATGTATGATGAAATGTATTCAACAAAAGAACCTTGGGTATCTAATTTTGGTGAAGCATTTGGAAGTTTGGCGATAAAGTTGGCTGGGCATAAGAGTTGATCAGTAAGATAGGATGCTGGTTTAGTGACAATTTGTAAACCAAATGCAGGGCATGAACCTTTAGAGATACCAGTGAAACTGAGGGAGATATCAAAGTTTGATGATTTAGATGTTTGAGCGAGATAAGTGCTTGAACGTTGGGCACTTGAATGAAGTGAGGTATAGAAGATTAAATCTTGATCAATAGCAGTGTCTTGAGTGAAAACATCAGAATCAATTGCAGCAGCAAGATTATCAATAGTAAAGATATTGATAAAGGTATCTTGGGAAACAGTGAGTGAAATATTTCTAGATGCAGCGTTTGATGGAGCGATAAAATCATCACTATACATACGAAGATAACCATTTGCGTCTATTGGACCACCAAATTGAGTTGAACCACCATTTAAGCTATTTAAATCCCATGGAATGGCATTGAAAATAGAACAATCACCATGGATATCACTTGATGAGTGACGAATAATAATTGCAAGATTATATGGAGTGCAATGTGGTGAAATTTCTGCTGGGAGACCATGGATTGATGTAATATCAAGATTGTAAATACCTGGTAGAAGTTCTGCATTAATATCATTAGTATTACGATTGGCTTTACCAATAAAACTAAGAGAGACATCATTATTATATATATGGACATTTAAGTCACCAAGAATGAATTGGTAACCAATTTGAATATAAATTTTACTTGGAACTTCAAGGGTAAATTGTGTATGGAGAATATTACTTGATTCGGTCATTTTTTCGGCTGGAATAGTTAATAATTCGTGATAGAAGAAAGTACCATCTTCGGTTGATGGAACAATAGTCATTGGTGGTGATAAAGGACAATCGGCTGGATATGGAATAGTGGCAATGGTTTTTTCAATTTGGTCTAATGTTGAAATTGCAATTTCAACATCGACTGGAACATTACTAACAGTAAAGAATGGGTTACCGAAATTGAGGGTATAATCGCCAACACTAAGAATTGTAACATAGGAACCAAATTCTGAATGATCATCAACAACTTTGTTATTTTTATCACTAATATAAATGACTGGTACATTGGTTAGATTATAGGTATCAAGTTCATTATCTGGAAGAATAGATGCTTGAATTCTAATAAGTGATTTAGAGGAAAGTGTAAATTGAACTTGGTTATGTAATGGGTTACCATCATACATCATGTATTCACCTTGAAGATGGACGTGATTATTATAGTTGAGGTAGGCATAGGTGTTTAATGTTTCTGGGAGATAATGATAGAAACCATCAATTTGATCTAAGTTGGAATATGGCTCCATGTAAAATTCGAAATTGAAATATGAACAACCTAAAATTTGGTCAAGACTAGTGAATGGTTCATAAAGTGTAAGAGTATAAGTACCAGCTGGGAGGTTAACAACTTCCAAGATATTTCTATTTGGAGCAGAAACACCATTATAAGTCTTTTTATTTTTGGCTGATGATACTAATTTAACAGCTAAATCACCAGTAAGGAAATTATAACCAGTTTGAATGTGAATATTAGTTGGAACTTTGGTGACAATGGTATAGGATTGACTGACTGGTCCAGTGGAGGTTTGTTGGAAGTAAAGTTTGGTGTCTGTTAATAAATTGGAATAATTGAATTTACCAGAATCATAGTTTGTTGGGATTGATGGCCATAAATTAGGAGTTTTACCAGCTGGACAATTACCTTCAATACTAACTTCATCGAGTGGAGAAACTCCAATTTCTAAACTAAAGGTGTTACATTGTGGAATATTCTTTGACCATCTCCAGAATTGAAGTTGGATGAAATATTTTGGTTCGGTATCAGTTGGTTTTGAAACTTTATCGAGTAATGTAACAAAAGCTTCTTCTGAGCCAATAAGATTTGAACCAGAGATGATTACCTTATCAGTTGAGTCTAAAAGTTTAATATCAATATCTACAATATGAGGATTGACATAAAGACGAAGAACAGATTTCTTGCTAATCATTATTGGGATTTTAACAAAAGAGTAAATACCATCGTTTGGAACAATAAATCTATCGGATTGGTAATGCATTCTTCCTTCACTGCCAAGGAAACGAACTGAATTGAAATCTAATGGAAGTGGTTCGCCTGGGCACATTGGTAATTTATTAAGTGGAAGTACAGAGTATTCAAATTCGAATGGAATACATGATGGTGAATTTTTATTAACAACTCTAAGATCTGGACGCATAATCTTAATTACATAACTTCCTGGGTCGAGTTGTTCTTGAATCCAATTATAATTGTAATCATGAATACCTTTAACAGAAAGCATAAGAGATCCATCGTCGAGTTTCTTGTAAAGGTTAACTCTTAAATCGCCTCTAAGGAATTCACTGGCAACAGCAGTATAAATTTGACTAACTTGTGTTAATATAAGAGTATACATAGCAACAAGAGTAGCATCAGTATTGGCTGGGAAGGTATAGATTTGTTTGGTTTTAGTGCCGTTTTCGAAAATGAAAGGTGGGTGCATGTTATTAATTAATGGAACATTTGGTGCGTTATTAGTTGGGCAATTATCATCAAGTAATAATTTGGTATCGGATGGTTCAATGGCAATTTCGAGATTGACAACTGGGCAGAAATTCTTTGATGAAGCAATACGATTACTAGATATAGTTAATTGATAAGAACCAGCGGCAACATTCAAGTAAATGGTATCACTTTGTTTCATGTAAACATCACCAGTAGCCAAGTTTTTAAGTGAAACTATATTAATAGCACTATTTTGTTGGGCGTGTACTCTAACTAAACATTGTTGAGAGACATCAAATTTGATGTTGGCTTCTCTTTTTGTGATTAAATAAAGATCTTGAATATGGAGATAGTCATTAATGAGGAACTCTGGTGAATTGAGTGATGGTGGAATTGGTTCACCAAGACAATTAAAGTAATCTTCTTCATCATTGATTAAAGTGAATTGAGTTTTCATATTGAAAAGAACACAGTTCATGCTTGTAATATTGGTAAATTCTGGTGCATAAAGGAAAATAGTATAATCACCTGGATTTAAAGTGGCATGAATAACATTTCTATTTAATTCGTTATCACCAAAAATACAACCGCTAATAGATGTATCGGTTGAACCCTTGCATGATGGGGCGACAGCAGTGTTATTACCACTAATGATAACCATAGAGACATCACCAATAAGGAATTGATAACTGAGTTCGATATCAGCCAAGATAACTTGGCCATCACCTGGTGAAACAGTAAATGTTGAATTCCAAAGATAAACAATTTGATTACTAATATATGAGTCTAATCTGTAAAGAGCATTATCATTCTTGGTAAAGTTTTGACTAATGGTTTTTGGAATGAAATACTCTTGTCCAAGAAGTGGTGTGTTGTCACAAGATTTAACTAATTGATTAGTATTATTTTTGAGAGATTCTAAATCGTCAATGGCAAGTTCTAAATTGAAAGTTTCACAATTTGAAAGTGAAACTTTGTTCCAGTTAAAGTATTTGAATGAGAGACGGTAATAACCTGGTTGTAAAACTATTAATAAAATTTCTTCACGGTTAAATGTGATGGAACGTTCAATAACATTGATCATATTGTCATCAACATCAACAGTGTAGAGCCATAAGTCAACATCAACATGGTGTGGTTCGGTGTAAATACGGAGTAATGATTCTTTTGTAATTGGGATAAAAGTATCGTGACCACCTGTTGCCATATCAATATAAAAATCGTCTTGAAGATGAAGTTTACCATCGAAACCAAGATATTGAATATGAGAAAGATTACGTGGAATAATTGGGGCATAACAGTATGCATCTTCATCGACTGGAATTGGTTTACAATTTGGATAACCTTGATAACCATAAGCACAATCACCACAAAGAGCAGTTGTGTTTGGACTATTGTAACCTAAGTTACAAGCACATTGTGGTACACCAGTTGGGTTAGAGCATTTACCATGGCCATTACATGTCTTATCATTACAATCACTATTTGGTACACATTCGTTACCAACACCGTGATAGCCAACCATACATTTTGAACAATCTCTACCAGCCCATGGAGCATCACAATTACATTCGGTATCACTTGGATTATCGCATCTGCCATGTCCATTACATTCACAGGTGATTGTGGTATAGATGTGAGTTGTGTTGAGTGCAGCAAACATGTCACCGCTAACTGAAATAAAGTTGGTGGTATCAACGATTAATTCGTATCTTGTTGCTGGAAGTAAATCTTTGAATGAAACTTTGAGAACAATACCCTTGTCGAATTTAGCATCATATGGTTGTAAAGCGCCATATTGACCGTATTTTAATTTGACAGAATCGTGGCTGTTAAGGAAGTCAATAAGAGAAGTAGTAATTGAACTGACATCAAACTCTTCGCTGAATGTAAGAGTGATATGTAAAACTTTATCTGGTGAAATATTGTTTGAATTTGGTGGATTAACTGATAAAATCTTTGGTGGTACTACTAAACCAGTTGGAACACCGCTTAATGAGAAAGCAAAATAATGGCATGAATTTACGACACCAAAGTTGTCATAACTCATTCTTTGTGTAATATCGAGGAAATAAGTACCAGCTGTTGGGATTTGATAGCTAATCTTGTTGGAGATATCAAAGTCTGAATTACTACTTGCTAAAATTACATTAGAACCTTGGATAATTTCTCTATCTGAATTGTCTGAATTCTTAATACCAAAAATTAAATCAAAATCATTTGCAAGGAAATCAAAGCTGACTCTGGCATCAATAAAAGTTTGTGTTGGAACAGTCATTGAAATTCTGTAACGGAAAGTGCCATTTCTTATGTTGTTTTGAACACGAGAGCTACTAAAGAAATATCTATCGTAGGATTGGAAATAGTCATCGTCAGTTTTGAAATGAACAGTTTCTGCTGGAACTTGAAGAGCTTCATTTGGCATTTTTGCTGGACATAAAAGTTGGGTTTGAATAGAGTCAAAGTGATCAGATTCCATTTCGAGATCGTAATAATTGCAATCCAAATTACTATTTCTTTTAAAGGAAATAACCAAAACATATGGTTTGTTTTGTACATCTAATTTCCAAAGATTATTTTTTGGAGTTAATGATTCTTTTCTGGTATTATCTGTGTAGAGGTTAAGTAATACTTGTGAACCTGGATAACTGTTTGTATAAATACGAATCATGGTGGTCTTTGATGATACAGTAATTGGAATAGCAACTTGAGTATCTTTCATTAAAAGGTTTTTGGCTGAAAAAGTTTGAACATCCTTGAATGTTGTTGGAAGGTTGGATAACTCTTCACAAACTTCACCTGGTTTAGTATTTGAAATATTGAGAGCGTAAGAATAAGTGAATGGGGCACATTGAATTGCAGTTTGTGGGGATGGACGAGTGAATGGGTCATAAACTTTAAGTGTCCAATTTCCTGGTGGGAGAATTTCATTTAAGAAAGCTTCACCGCTTTGATAAAGTGGGTAAACAACTTTATGAAGGGAAGCACCATTTCCTGAATAATAAAAACCTTCAAGTGACATTGATAATGATGAAACCAAATTATAATAGTCAAGGTTGACATATAAATGAGCCCATTTATCATTGGTGAGTGTAATAGTTTTTACTGATGGAATATATTTTAAGGAACGTTGGAATGATTTAGAGAAAGTTTGGCTACTGAAATCGTCTGGAATATCGGTTATAGAGGAAGAAGAACAATCGTTTGTAATTGATTGAACAGTTGAAAGAACACTCATTGGAGTAAGAGAGATTGAAGTAAAGAATGTTGGACAATCCTCTGGTCTTGGAAGTGAACCAGAAGTACCGAAATATGTGAAAACGATTATATAGGTTTCTGGAGTGAGTGCTTGATAAATGGCATGTTCAGAAATATTTGGATCGTTGACGATATATTTACCTTGGGAATTCAAGAGAGCGATATTCATTCTTAATAATGAAGTTGGTGGTACATAAATACGAAGCATTGAGGCCTCTGTAACTGTAAAATTAACAATGTCTTTACCGTCTTCAACTTTGGCTACAATATTTTCGGCAAAGCTAAATGAATTTGATGTTAAATTTGACATGAATCCAATTGAATTGAATGTATTTGGGAGCTCAATACCTGGACAAACTACTACATCGTTTACAGAGTTTGCATATTGTGATTGAATACCAACCTCAAGTGAGAAATCTACACAGTTTCTTAATTCTAATTGGGCAATATTATTTGAGAATGGTTCATAGATACGAAGTGCATAAGAACCTGGAACCAATTCAATTGTTGGAATTTCGAGTCTGTTATAAGTTAATTCACCACTTGAAATGGATTTTTCGTTATTAACTGATCTTAACTCGAAAGCAAGATTGTTCCAAATGAAATCGCTTGAGAGAATAGCTCTGAAGAGTGAATTACCAATTTGGGCTGGGACTTGGAATTGAATAGTTTGATCAAATTCGACATTAGTTTGTCTAAAGTAGAAATTGTCTTGAATGTAAACTGGTGTATGAGAAGCATCTGGAATCCAACCAGCAGCTGGAAGGCTATTTTGGGTTGAAGAACATGTGTCCTTTGGATTATCTGATTTTGGTGAGATGGTTAAACCAAATTGGTATGGAATACAGGAAGAAACTGTACCAACATGAATGTATTTAAGACGAAGCTTGTAATCAGTACCAGCTTTAAGAGTATAGACTAAAGCTTCCTCTGAATAAAATCTATTGGTCCAAGCAACTGGGGTATCACCTTCATAGATAGTCATATCGATATCAATTGGGTTATATTGAGTGTAAGCTCTAATAATTGAATCTACTTTGGTTTTAAAGGTAATTTCATCATTGCCATATAAAACAAAATTTGATGGTGGGAAAAAGAATTCACCTGCAATTTGGACATGTTCTGAGCTACCTAAATAAGCTGGGGAGTTGAGAGTAGTTGGTAATTCTCTGGTGATTAAATCACATGATGGACGAGATTTATCTTGCTTTCTAAGTCTAATTGCTAAAGAGTAAGCTAAACATGTTGGAAGATCGTCTACTGCATGTTTACTAGTTGAACCAGTTTGGATCTGTAATGAATAGTTACCTGGATAGAGGTAGAGGGCAATAGCATGACGATTACGATCATGGGTACCAACATAGAGAATATCAGATTGATCTTCTGGGTCCATCTTTAAATCGACTAAAACCAAACGGATGTCGGCTGTAACAAAGCTACTTTCGACAATTGATTCAAAAAAGTAGATAGTATCATCTGGAACAGAAAAGATAGTGGATTTAATTACGTGGGCTTTTTGATCGGTTGGTGTTGGTACTTGATAAATTGTTGGAACAACACCACCTTTATCTGTATAACCTAAGAGATATTGACCACTTTCATATAAAGTTGAATTTAATTGATCGAGTGGTGGTGAAATTTCGCTAGAACCAGTACAAGAGTTGATGAAATCGGAGGTTGGTTGAATAGCTACTTCGAGGGCAAATGTGTCACAAAAAACATCAGCTCTTTTACCAAAATAATAAAACTCTAAAACATAACTACCACCACCAATATTGGCTGTAATTTCTTCTTCACCGCCAAATTTAAATGATGATGCAATTGTAACTTTTTTACCATCGTCTTTGATTTGTGTTAGTCTAACATCGATATCAATTCTATAATCTGGAATATATGCACGGAAAAAACTTTGCTCTGTGATGTTGAATGGAATTTGTTCGTGGTTGACACTAAGATCTAATAAAATATCTTCATCGAAATATAAATAACCACCATCATTTAAATAACCTGGCTCGTTGAAACTCTTTGGTAATTCGTATTCTTGACAATTTAAAAAGTCTTCAACCTTTTGTGCTGCATCAACGTTAACATATAATGAAAATTGGGTGCAATCTGGTGCAATTCTATAATCTTTTTCATAGGTTTGATCAATGATATAAAGTGTATATGTTCCTGGATATAAAGTAGCTCTAATATTTGAATGACCTTTACCTGTATGTACACCAATGGTACAGTTATTTGTTTTGATACATCCAAAAGTTTTATCTGGTTGTGAAACAGATTGTTCTTGAAGTAAAACACTAAATTTATGAGTGAAAAAAAAAAAAAAATCATTAGTTTAAAGCGATGATTAAATTTGTTGTTAATAAAATTTTTGCTTACTTGATCGAACCACCAGTTAAAAAGTCGAAACCTAATGTAACATCAATACTATATTTATCTTGGGTTGATGGTAAAATAATATTATATTGAGTGACAATTGTAAGAGTATCTTTTTCTACATCCCTTAAATTGATAATTTGTGTTTGGTCAATATCTGAATCAAAAACAAATGGGACTTTAGTTATTTCTAAGTTATTTGGGAGGTTTGGTAAAATTTGTTGAGGTGGACAAACATTTTTATATTGATCCAATCTACTTTCAATAACTGAAATTGGTGAGATTGCAATTTCCAACTCAATAGTTGGACAATCTAATTTTTTACCTTTATTTTGTCCAAAAAATAAAAATTTAAGAGTATATGAACCTGGTCCTAATTTAGCATATAAACTTTCATCGGAACCTTGTGTTGCATCGGATGTATGCTTTAATAAAAAAATTATAAAAAAATGTTAATAATCAAATAGTTTCCACTGGGTGAAATGTGTGTTTGATAATTATACATACGTTAATTGAAGTGCCTGAACCTTGGTATAACCATAAATCTATATCAACAATATGTGGTGCAACATAAACACGAAAAGCACTTTCCTCTTTTAAGGTAAAGCTAATAGACTTTTGAAAAGAGCTAAAATCGTAATAGTATGTCTCGTGGATATGAAAATCACCATTGAAACCAAGGAAATTCAAATCGTCGAGTGTTGTTGGTAATGCTTGATATGGACAACTTTCACTGCTAGTTCTACCAGTAACAACATCAACTGGTGAAGCACTAACAATTGCCCATAAACATACTATATATAAAATACCAAAGAAATAAAGCAAATTATTTCTATTTTTAATTTTATTAGTATAAACAATCATGATTTTATTATTATTATTTTTATTATTTATAATATTTATATATAATCTATTATTTTTTTATTTTATTTTTACTACTACACATAATATAATACATCTAATTTATTTTTATAAAATAAATGAATATTATGATAAAAAAAGAAAATATAAAAAAAGAAAATAAAAATAATAATAATTTTATTTATTTTTATTTTTTTTGTGTGAATTTTATTATTATATATAAATATGCAGTTGTTTGGGTGGGTGTATATGTGGAGTAGTTTATCGTGTTATTTGTGTTAATGTGTGTGGGTTGGTTAAAAAAGATAATTTAAAAATTTAAAAATAATAAAAAAAAATTTTAAAAATAAAAAAAAAAATAAAAAAAAATAAATGGAGTGTGGTTGTGAATTTATCTTTTTTTTGAAAAAAAACTTTTAACTACTATAATTACTATGGTTTATTGATTTATAGTAAACACTGTTTTTTGAGTAATATATTTTTCTTTTTTTTAGTTTTTTTTTTTATTTTTTTAATTTTTACTGGGATTTTTTAAAAGATAACCTTGTAATAATTGACTTTTGTGTGTATTATTATTTTTTATTTTTTTTGATGTGATGGTGAATAATCAAATAGAGAAATTATTTCCTTACCTTTGCTTCATCTTTTGAATCTATATTATATAAAAATTATATTAATTTATTATTACTCTTTACAATGAAAAATAAAGATTTATAAATATATTGATATTATTATTAATAATCGAGTTTTTTTTAATTAATATATATTAATTCTTTTTAATTAATCAATATACATGTATAATAATATATATATTTATAATATAAAAATAATAATTTTATGTTTATATAAAAATAAAAAAAATAATAAAAAAAAAAAAAATTTTAAAAAAGAAAATAAAATAAATATTTTTCAAATTTTTAAAAAAAAAAATAAAAAATAAAATAATAAAAAATAAAAAAAATAAAAAAAATAAAAAAAAAAACGAAATATATTTAAATTATTATTAATATAATTAAATTAAAATAAATTATTTTAGTTTATGTTGTCCAAATTAAGTTTTATTTTATTTAACTATTTTTTTTCAGTTTTACTCTCAACCAAATTTTAAAATTAACGGTAATAGATAAATATAAATAAATAAACACAAATGAATATTTATACGAAAAAGATCATCATCAAGGATTTTTTTTTTTTTTGATAATTATCAAAATGTGGGAAAAAAATAGACTTTTTCTGGATATTTTTTTTTTTGGAAATAAAAAAAAAAAAAAAAGATAAATTCCAAAATTAAGATTTGCAATTGTATAACTCTATAGTAATAAAATATTCCCTCTGAGTATCTTTTATTATTTGTATTATTTTATTATTATTTTTTTTTTTTTTTTTAGTCTAATTGAAAAAAAGAATTAATTTTCCTTTGAATATTCCTCATCACCAAAAATTAAAAATTTAAAAAAAAATTTTTAAAAAAAAATTCAAAAAAAAATTCGAAGGAAAATGATGGGTTACAGACCTCCCACATGCACTAACACAAAAATTTATAAAATATCTTTTTAATAAAACTAAAAACTGAAATATTGCCATGGTGGCAATGTGTAATAAATTTATAACCCTTTTAATATTAAAAAAAGAGATAATAAAAAACAATAGAAAATATAGTTGTAATAATTATATAGTTGTAATAATTATATGGTGGAATTTTTTTATTTATTATCTGTTTTCTTTTTTTTTTTATCACATATATGGTTTTAACTTTTTATTTAAAAAGGAGTACCAATTGAACTTTTTTAAATTTTTTATTTATTTATTTATTTTATTTAAAAAAAAGTTGTTTAAAAATAAATTTATTTTGATATATTGCAAAGAAAATTAATAATAGTTATTCACTACCACTTGGTGTTATTGTTGTAGTGGTTGTTGAGTTATTATTGTTGTTACTATTATTTAATATTATTGGAGAGGAATTTTCACTACCACTGTTACTATTATTATTTAAATTTGTATTACTGTTCATTTTAATTCTATAATTTTTTTTAATTTCAGTAAATTTAAGAGAGTTTCTTAATTCACTGATCTTTTCATCCAAGATATCAAAATCTCTAAATGTGACATCTATTAATTCGTCAATATTGTATTTCTTATTTCTTAATAAACTAACAACTACTTCAGAGTCTTTTTCGGCGAGAATTGCATTTTTATTGATTTTTAAAATTGCTAAACCAGCTTGGAACAATACAGTGGTACCATCTAAAAATAGGCAATCGATTACACGAGTTGAGACTTGGTATGGGATATAGGATACAAATAAACACATAAACCATGGTAATGTAAGAATTCTAAGAGGTAAACCAATTTTATCCAAGTGTTGATATACATCTGGCAAAAGAGTTTTGCAGAGATCGTCAAAAATATTTTGGTCAACAATCGAACCAATCATTTCTTTACTATGATAGCCATCAAGATAAACTTCGACTACCTTGCAGAGTACCCAAAAAGCAGCCTCTTCTTTCATATAGAGAAGCATAATGGCGGCAACAATATTCATACCTTGACAATAACCAATGGTTGGGTTTCTCCAACTATAGGCTACCAGTATACGACGAAGTGCATCGATACCTGGTGCATCTTCTTTAAAATATGGATGTTGTGGATATGTTCTACGAATATCTTTTTCGATTTCTTCAAGTGCTACACTGGTATTGTTTTCGTTTTCCTTTAATATGTTTTCATAGTAACCTTTTTCTTTTTCCCACATAAAACATGCACCACTTGTAAATGACCAAATATGACCTCTAAAATACTCTGGTATACCTAAATGTGTAAGATTTTGAAGTTTACAGGTTATGGACATTGTTGTATCCATACCATTTTTTTTAAAATAGTGATCCCAAAGTTCGAATTTCTTTTTCTCGATTCTTTCTTCTTCTATTACTCTATCTGGTTCCTGTGAAAATAAATTTGAGCCAATTGTTTCCAATCTTAATTTCTCTTTAAAATTTGGTGATGATGGCACATCAATTACATTTGGTGGATTGATTTGAAGTACTTGACAGTACTTTTTCATTGTATTTAATGCTTCATCACAATGAACTAATCTAATTAAAATCTAATATGAATTTAAAAATAAAATAAAATGGTTAGTATTATAATTAAAAGGTTTTTTTTTTAAGTTTAAAAAAACTTACCTTTCTACCAGATTTAACAGTAATTTCTAAAGAGTCAGTAAGGAACGATATACCAAGGAATGGTTTTGTTTTTTGAATTGATTCAATTTGTGAAACATGAATAACGGTTGTATATTTTTTTGCAGTAAAACGTTCTTTATATTTTAAACAGAAAAAGTTTGGAGATATATAAAGCTCAGCAATAATTGAATTCTTTCTTACTATCCAACATGAGTGATGCTGTATATATTCTTCATCTGATGGTAGTTTAAAAGTTTTTTGAAAGTATTTGTTCTTTTTCTCTATATCTAATAAATGTTTTGTTTTAAGTTTTAATGTTGGCGAAGTATTACCATTGTTATTATTATTATTATAATTATTATTATTATTATTTTGTATTCCTGTACTGCCTGAAAGTGATGAGTCGCTATAAATTGATTGTAAATCTTGATAGGGAGATGTTGGTGAAGAATTACCATTGAATGGTAAAGGTGAGTCAGTTAAATCTTGTGGTGTTGATTCATAGAGTTGATCCATTAAATATTGCCAAAGTTGTTCCAATAAATCATATGCCTGATCTCTTAAAATAAAATAAAATAAAAATTCCGATACTGTTTTATCATCTGGTCCAATACATGCTTTAATTTTAATAGCTGATGGCAAAAATCCTAATGGGTTTTCCTTTGAAATTGAATTTACATTTTGAAATGGTATCATTATTCTTGTGACAGGGTTTGATGTAAAATAGCATATCTTTTGTTGAGTTATAAACATTTTACCTTTACTTATTTTAATATTATTATTTAATAATGAACATGTAAAATCTAGATAAAATGAATTAGTATGTAAAGAAAATAAATATAAAAATGATAATGGTGTAATAATTACATGTTACTAATTTTTCGTCAATATCAAATTGAGTTTTAAATTCATTTAGTGATTGTTCATCATTTTGATCCTCTTCCTCTTCTCTATAGCAACTGGCCATACCTGATACTTTAGTAATTAAAAATTGTTCTCTAGTTTCTAAATCACATTCTATTATTTTTGGTAAAATTTCCTCTATTAATATTTTCCAATGATTCTAAAATAAATATAAATGTTAGTATTTAATGTGATGTTTATAAAATATAAAATATAAAATTAATAATTACATACTTTAATAATATCATAACTATTTGAAACGGCCACAATTTGTTGTTGGGGTTTAGTTTTGTAAACTATTCTATAGTTCAATGGTTGTTGATCGCTTGCAGCTATTGCTAAATTTGCCAGTTTACCAAATAAAGAGTTTGTTGGTTTTGTTTTTAAAAGTTGAAAAAAATCATTCTCTCCTAAAAGATCCCAAAGTTGTGATACTGAATAATGAGGTCTAGGAACAATCCACATTTTATATAAATATTTATAATATTTAAGATATTATTAAACTATAAATATATATATCTATGTTATTATTATAATATGGTATATTTTGATATTTTTACTATTATACTATTACTACTCTTTTATTAATAATAAATGTTGTGTGTATATCTATTGTTTATTAAATTATTTATTTATTTAAGTTTCCAAACCATACATAAATATTTTATGAGAAAAAATTTAAAACACGTGTTTATTTTTTTTTTTAAATTAATAATATATTATTTTTTATTTTTTTTAATTTTTTAATTTTTTTAAAATTTTTTAATTTTTTCTTTATTTTATTTGAAAATTCCTAATATCAGCAAAATAGTATGAAATACAAAGAGTTACATTAAATAAAAGATCCATAAATGAGGTTTTATTTTTTTTTTTAAAAAATAGTATTTATTTCAATAATAACAACAATACATTAAGATAGGTCTATTGATGAAATTAAATTTTCAAAAAAAATAAAATAAAATAATTCACCAAATCCCGCACCGGTAAACCTAGGGTTCCATTTAAAACGTTTTTAAAAAAACAAAACTATGGAATTCCAAACCAATTTTATATTAAAAAATAATAGTTTAATCAATAATTTATTTGTAAATTTTAAATGAAAAATTTAAATATTTAAAGTTAAATTAATTGTTTTTTTAAAATATTATTAAATATGATTCAGAGGATTTATCGAGTATCTGGTTAAGGAAATACCACAGGTTTGTTAAATCAATATGGTTTTTTTATCACTATTGAAAAACTTACCTCACACCGAACCTCAACTATAACTACCATTACATCAACAAAACAAAACGACCACCATCAAATATTTATAACAAATTCAATCAATTTGGTTAATGTAATTTCCCACATTTTCTTAATTAAACAATTTATATATCAAATAAAAATAAAAATAAAAAATAAAAAATAAAAATAAAAATTAAATAAAAATAAAAATAAAAAAATATAAATACACAATTGTGTATAAATATAAAAATAAATAGTATACTTTGCTTCAATCTATATATTTGAAAAAATAGTTATGAGATATGGAGTTATAAAAAAAAAACTATATGCACTTATATGGATTTATATCTTAATAGTAATAATAAAAAAACAATAATATCAAAATAATTTACAATTATTTGTTAAAAAAAGTATAGTAGTTGTTGTAATTTATAAATTATAGTTAAGTGTACAGTTGGTGGGGGTGTTATTAAGATATTTTTAAAAAAAAAAACAAAAAAAATAAAAAAAATAGTTTTAATAAAAACTTTGAATAAGATTTCTTTTAAATTAATAATAAAACAAATTTAATTGTTTTATATTTTCTTTTATTACTTGAATTAAATTTTAATAATTATTTATTTAATTTAAAAAAAAAAAACAAAATAATATTTTGTTTTATTAAAGAATTTTATTATTATCTATTTGATCCGATAAATTTTATGAATTAAATGATGATGATTAATGTTATTTTAATTTTCAGTAGTGTGTGGGTGAGTGGGGTAGATGGGGGAAAATTAAATTAATAAAATCATTCTATTATTCTTTTTCTTTTTTTAAATTTATAAATTTTTATTTGTAAGACTTTGGCACAACCGAATTATCATCATATCATCTCCACTCAGTTGTTTAAAAAGTCTACTTTTATCTGTCCCAAAGTAGGCAAAAGTTACTTTTAAACTAAAAAATATACATTTTACTTGGTATAAAATATAATAAATTTCAGAATGGGAGGAACAGTTAAACTTTTTAAATACACCAAATTTTTTTTTAATCAACAAAGCCCATTGCACGAACCTATGGGAATATTTCGTAAAAAAAAAAAAAAAAAAAAAAAAAAAAAAAAAAAAAAAAAAAAACCAAAAAAAATAAATTTAATTTTTTTTTTTAAAAACGAGAAAAATATATATTTTGAAATTTAACCAATTATAATTTTATTTTGTGAAACTAAATGATCATTATTATAACCTTTTTTTAAGAATTATTGTAAAAATTTAAAACTATTATTTTGTTTAATAATAAAATTGTTTTTGTTGTTGTTATTATTATTATTATTATGTCGATTTATTTTTCGATTGTAAAAAACAATAAGTTATAAAATCATCACTAACAATAAAATAATAAAATAATCAAAATAATCATAAAAATCATAATAGTCATAATAATAGAAAAATAAGTAATAATAACAAATTACCTTGTTATAATTATTAAAAAAAAAAAAAAAATGTAATAACATATAGTTTTTTAAAAGTTTTTTTATCCTTTTTTTAAAAAACAAAATTTGCTTTTAATCAAATAGTAATTTTATTTATTTTTATTATTACTATTACTAATACTACTATTACTTTATAATCATTATTGGTAAAAAATTTAAATAAACTTTTTGGAATAACTTTTTTCAAGTAATTTATGGTTATATGAGATAACAAAAATTATCTTTTTTTTCTGAATTAAAATTATAGATAAAATATATTTATGTATACATTTTAAAAAATAATACATATTATACATTTTACATATGTACAAAATATAAAATTTAAATAAAAGTGATCAAGAATTTTTTATAAAATTATTTTTGGTTAATTAATTAACCATATATCTTTTTAAAAAATTTAAAAATAAACACACACCACTCTTAAATATTTTTTCAACTCTTTCTAATTTTTAATTATAACCCCAATTTCAAACAACAAACACTTTACCCCTCTCCCACACTCACACATTATATATAAAAAGTATAAAAAAAAAACATATCATTTTAATATAAACACATATTCAATCTCTCAAATCACCCTAGTATATTTCCATATGGAGAGAATATTTTGCCCAACCCTTTTTTATATATATATGTTTTTAAAGAAAAAAACTTTATTATTATTTTTAAAGATTATAATTTTTAAATAAAAAATATATCTTTTTTTTTATAATCACATACACATACACATGCACATGCATCAATATACATCTTTCTCAACAATAATATTATCATCATTATAATTATTATTATTTAAAAGGATATACAAAAATAATTATAAATCTATTATTAAATTTATCTTCTTTTGTACATTCAGTTCCTTATAAGTATCAATGCTCTTCTGATTCTGAAATATAAAAGGTTTTCTTTTATTATTATTTTTTATTTTTATATAATAATTTTAAACATAAATCATATACTTTTATGTATAATAATTAAAAAGTATATCTAAATATTCAAAAAAATAATTTTATTAAAAAAAAAAAATGAAAAAATGAAAAAAGAAAAACAACTTAACCCACTCCAAAAAATAACCTATTATGTATCATTTACCACAAGCACACACAAGCTTTTCACTCTGTTTTTATTTGGTGGAGCTAAATTAAAATTAAAAATATTAAATTTATAATTTAATTATTATTTCCATGAGAGTCAAATAAATTATAATAATTGTCTGTTTTTTTTTTTATTTAAATTTTAAAATTTTTTTTTTTCTTTAAATTTTAAAATAATAATAATTTTTTGGTTTGTTTATTATTTAATATTTTTTTTTCTTTTTCTCCATCATTCATAAAAAATAATTACTATTTTAATATTTAGTAATTTATAAATAAATATAGTATAATAATATTAATAATAGTTTACACTCTTATACTTTACCCATAATACACACTTTATTACTTTTTTTATTTTTTATTTTAAAAAATATATAATCATTTTTAAAAATTTTATATTCATAAAAAAAAAAAAAAAAAATAATACCAAAAAAAGTTATTAATATTATAAAATTATAAAATTAGAAAAATGGAAGAATATACACCCTCTCACCATATTTTAAATGGAAATGGTTTAATATTTCAATTACCAAATAATAGTAGCGGTAATAGTGGAAAAAAAAATAAATTGTTAACATCATCAGGTTCTTCATCATTATCTACATCCTCAAATAGTATTCAAAATGTTACCTCATTAATATCACCTGAATCATCACCAATTTTATCATCTAAACCACAGCCAACCACTACAAACACAACCACAAATACAAACTCAAAATCTAAAAATAAAAAAGAATTGCCTTTAATAATGGATGAAGAAAGTGGAGCAAACAATATATCACTATTGGGAAATAGTAGTAGTGCACCTGGGTCATTAGGAGGAGCATTTTCATCTACATTTGACCAATTAAACAATCATATTACACAACTATCACAAAATAAAGTTTTTTCTGATTTAAAGCAATTTATTTCAAATATTAATGGTGTGGCTTCTTTTACTAGTAGCACAAACGGTACTAATAGTAATGGGACAAATAGTAATAAATCATCTCCATCATCTCCTCCCTCAAATAACTCTACTCCTCCAAGTACTTCAAAAATTTCTAACAATGAAAATTCATCATCCTCATCATCTTCACTATCTTTAAGTAGTGGTACAGTAGTTGTAAATTCTAAAAAAAGAGATTATAATAGCGATAATGAAATGGCCGATGATTCTTCTTCATATTTGAATAGTAATATATCGAGCAACAATAATAGTCATACCCATAGTTACTCAAGAGGCTCATCATCAAATAATCTCCACAGTTTAGCTCAACCATATAATAATAATAATAATAGTAACGAGTTAGAGGATCAACCAGTGTTAAAGAAAAAAAGAAGTTTAGATTTAGACTCATTTAAAAACAATATTGGAAATAATAACAGCAACAATTATTCCTCATATCCAAATAGTCCAATAATAGATAATAATGATTTACAAGGTATGGTTCAATCACAAAGAAAAATAATACAAGAGTTAACGGATTATATTAAAAGTTTAGAACAAAAATATGATTATTTAAAGACTGAACATAATAGTTTTAAAAGAAAAATGTCAGCATCAATAAATGATTTGTTATCAATTTACGAAAAAGCAATAGTAACATAAATGGTTAAATACTACTTTTTTTAGATGACGGTAACAATAATAATTATTACAACCAATTTAAATAACGATAACTCAAATCGATTAAAAATACCATCCCC